TGTTTCAGCTTTTGTCTTCTCCAGATGTTAACTGATGGACTGTAGTGCTGTGGATTACTTGTGGATTATTGTGATGTTTTTATCAGCTGTTTGGACTCTCATTCTGACGGCACCCATTCACTGCAGAGACAGTGATGCAATGCTACATTTCTCCAAATCTGACGAAGAAACAAACTCATCCTAATCTCGGATGGCCTGAGGGTGAGTACATTTTCAGCAAATTTTCATTTTTGGGTGAACTATTCCTTTAATCACTGTCAGTGTGCACCAGCTTCTGCTCTTCTGTCTGTTTTTGTGCCTTATAATGTCAAAGGTCAGAGCACGGGATCTCAGCAGCAGCACAGCTAAACCTGATACGTATGATTCTATCAGCTAACAGTGAGCATTACATTGGGTGACGTACCGCTCTCTGGTTCTGTCTGGGTTAAGGACACCTGTGACCCGTGTCAGTTTGAATCCTGCCCGTTTGACACACGTCCCATCGCCGCGGCTCTCAGGACACATTTGTAGGCATGAATTAGAGATGGTGTGCCAGTCAAAGCACCACGTCCTTTCCCTCCACGCATCTTACTGAGCTCGGGAAGTGTGAAATCTAATCCTCAATCACCACCATTGATTTCATTACCGTCTGCGGGCGCTCGTTCACAGCACAAAGCAAACAGAGTCGGCGTAAGATTAGCCGTCGGAATTGGGAACGCTACCAATTGGAATTAGAATTGTGTTATGAAAGCTGGCAAACAAGCGAGGCGTTGCATGATGCCAGGTGGATCGTGCCCAGATTCTACTTCCTGCTGCGACTGTAAATACATCTCTGAACGGCAACGGCAGGGAATCATACATGTGTGGCACTCAGTAAAAGAGTTTCCCATCTTCCTTTAGGACAAAAAGATTCACGGGAAAGTTGTTAGAATAGGCTGAGAGGTTATGCAATTCTAACCCCAGATATAACTCTATAGGCCTTATTCATAGGAGCAGAACATAAATGATACATAAATCTATTTGTACATGAATCATCTAATTTAATTAAATCTGCTAATTATGTAAGAATGTTTTGTTTGAATGAAAAGTTTAGCAAGAACGCATACAATTTTTACTGTATTTTTGATCAAATAAATGCAGCCGTGGTGAGCAGAAGAGACTTATTTCAATAACATTAAAAAATGTTTTGAATGGAAGTGTTTGATTTACACAGAAATGTTCTGTTCGTGTTTCCTGAATCACACCCAAGTGAACAGTTGCTTCAAGCAGTTAAGTACATAGACAGGAGTCATTTCAATGCACGCCTTTGCATCTTCTAGAAAGATTTTAGTTGCATTTAAAACAAAATAGCTGAAATGAGTCTGGGATTCTGATCTGAATGTGAGGTCAGTGATTCAGAATCTGAATCTGAACTGGACGGTCTGATTCAGTGAAGTGACAGCATCTTGTTTGACGGCTCTGTCCTGGATTTCGTGCCATGCTTCTCTAATCAGTCACTCTTTTTGCCCTGATTCCTTCTCTTTCTTCTTCCCATCAGCCTACACAGGTTCAACTCCCTCTGGTTTTCTTTGTGTTTTTTATTTATTTATGTAACTGTCTTAAAAAAAAAAAATACTCCACAATCAATACTTTACCCCCTCTGGAAATTTCTGAGAGCCCTGAGAAACAATCACAAGACGCGGTGGAGGCTCCCCAAACAAACCTCTCATCACGGTGAGTGGCCCGCGGGGGTCCTGCCTACCTGCCGGGCCCCTGGCTGCCAGTCAGCACACATCACCTCCTCAATACATCAGTGTCTCCTTGCATTTGTGCTTCCCATCTCCCTTTCTCCCCCGTCTCGCTCGCGTCTCAAAAGTTGAGGAGTTTTCACAAAACGAATGAACTTTCCTCAGGTCAGACGCTCTCAGGTGTGTATAAATGCTGTCCCTGATTTCACACTGACACACACTGAGGAAAAAAATCTCAAATAGGCTTTCAGAAATAACAGTGACTTGCATGTCATTTATGTTACAGAGGAAAACCATTTCTCTGTCAGAAAGAGCCCACGCCGTTTGTGCTCCAGATATGAATGATTCCTATACTATGCAACCACCCAGAACACCCTAGTAGCAACCACCCAGAACACCCTAGCAACCGCCTAGCAACCACCCAGAACACCCTAGCAACCACCCATAACACCCTAGCAACAACATAGCAACATGCTACCACTAGCAACCAATCACAACAGTCGACTATGTTAGTAGTGGGTTTTACATGGGCAAAAACACTCCTTTCTGCCAGAAAATGTTAAAATCTAGTTGTAGATGCAGTTGACAAAAATATATCTCAAACTGCAGGACTAACTAAAAATGATAAAAAAAAAAATAAAAAAAAATATATATACATTTTTAAAAATATAATATAAAGGTGATATATATACATATATAGGCGCTGCGTAATATTATTGCGCCTGCTGCACCCATGGTACGGCAGCAAAGTTCCTTGATTATTACGCCGGAATGAGAGTATAGTTCCTAGACATATCGGCCTAGAAAATCGCAACTTTTCATTTTCCGTCGGTAAATGTACACGATGTAACTACAGAAGAGTCAAGTTTTAAATAGGAAAAATATCGAAACTCTTTGGTCATTTTTGAGCGAGATGCTAACGGTCTAATCAGATTCAATGATCTATGCTAAGCTACAGCTAAAAGTGCTACCGCCAGACCCGGAGATCGGCTGAATGGATTCGAAAACAGTAAAACTCAACTGTTTAACTCTAGGGGAGTTGGAAAATGAGCCTATTTTCAAAAATAGTGGAGTGTTCCTTTAACATGAACAATCTTACTGATCCCAAACTTTTGAACAGTAGTATATATATATATATATAGAATTATTTTATTTTATTTTTGCTTAAACTGAATCATGTTTTGTGCATCATTACAATCCTGGACTGTCTGTCTGACGCTGGTCATCATGTTGTCCTGTTATCAAGCTGACAAGGGTCAAAGGTCGCCCGAAATGTGCCTGTCCGTCCTATTAAATCAGAACGCTGTGGCTGAGAGTCGTGACCTGTGAGGGACTCAGGTGTGTTTGACGGCCGTCTACCGAGATCTTCAATCACCATCCCTGAACGGATTTGATCGTCATAGTTTGGACTTACATGGTACATTCAGCATCCTTCACTCGATTCCACCTAATCGATTAGCAGCTAAAGATATAGAAAAACAAACAAAATCACCTTTGAGCAGCTTTTTGACTAATGTTATAATGTTGGCTTATTTTATGTACAAACAAGAAATGTTGCATGGAAGTTCTCCACTATTCTTGGTAAGTCTAACTTGATTGCCACTTGCATCAAGCTCTTTCATCAGAGTAACACACACACACACACACACACACACAGAGAGACACACAGTCTGCAGGGCTACACTGTAGTATGATCCTGGAAGACACAAGTGAATTGTGATTTAGTTGGGATGTTTCTCGAACCCTCTCCCCTGACGCCCAATGCTCAATGCCCGCTGATATTACTACAGTGTGGCTAAACGAAAACAAAGATATGCTGAAGAGAACGTAGATTGAACATGTTTTTGGTTTTCTTATGCCCTCCTCTCCACCTCGGAAGGTCCCAAAACATTTGTAGGATGAATAAACAGGTACAACCCCTTAAACACAACCCTTTAGATTCAAGATCAGCAATATGTGATCCTCATTAGGGCGACTAAAAAGGATATTTTCATATGCAGGCGTGAGTGCATAGGTTCCTGCAGAAGAGTCTTTCTGTCCATGTCAATATTAATGACCAAACTCTTGTAGATGAATCTGGCATAGGTATAAAATAAACAATTGTCCTTTAGGATATATATATATATATATATATATATATATTCATGAGTGAAAAAGGAGAATAACAAAGCAAAAGGAAAGAAATCTAGAGCTCTTAAGTTAACTCGGTAGTTCTTATCTTCTTAAAATCACAGTAATATTTAGATATCTGAAATGATTAAAACACAGTGCCGATACAGAGATAACGAAAGAAAAGGTCAAACGTCACACAGAGGAAGATCGCTATTACTGAGTTAGTTAGGAGGGTGTGATTTAGCTTCACAAATTGGAAGGGAGTTTCGAACGGAGCGGTTCTAGTTCGGACAGGTGGCTGTCGGAGAGAGAAAGTGCAGGTGACGTCCCTATAGAATGAGCCTGGCCTCGAGAGCCCGGAGAAGTCTGTATGGGGGCGACCATGTGCCCTGATACCGAGCTACAGGGTTTGGGGGTTAGCGTCGGGGATGAATACGGGGAGAGGCAGTAACCGGGCTCCCAAGGGGAAGACTGACCCGCTGCCTCTACAGGGGGGGAGCTGGACAGTATGTTCAAATCCTCATAAAAGCGGCCCAACGGAGAGTCTGTGCCGGAAGAGTGGTGACCCGGGAGTTGGCCGGGACATGAGGACTGCGGGAGAAGCAGGGAGGTGTGAGAGCCGGCGGCGCTGGAAGGGTCACTGTAGTGGAAAGTTCTCCCCGTGACAGGGCTCTGGATGGTCGGACTTGGGGCCAGAGGGGTGTAGCACGGCGAGGTGTTCGCTGAGCCATACTGAGCGAGCGAGGCCAGCGCTGACCTTTCTAAAGGAAGGTAAGCGGATAAAGCGGGCGGGATCTGAGATGACGTGGAACTCTCGGGTGCTTGGGAACGGCTGGACGAAGGCGATTCGGGTGGGGGAGTGTGGAAGAGGTTCAACCCAGTGGAAGTCTTGCCCCCTCCGGTAGCAAACTGCTGCAGGGAGCCCGTTTGAGAGGGTTTTGGTGGGGGTTGGCCGTGCAACAACTGACTGGGGGCGTGACTGAACAAGCCCGTGGAAAGAGGGCTAGTATTGGATGAGGTTGTAGCCAGGATCCCAGCTGGAAATCCACCAGCTGCCGACGCCCCTTTTTGGAGATGTCCTGATTGCGGAGGAGTGCTGGGGGCGACGGCTTGCTTTTGTCTTGGCTGCGAATGAAGCTGTGCGGTGCTAGAAGTCGGCGGCGCCGGTGAAGAAGAGTAGCTTCCGAATGTGAACAATGAAATTCCGGCTTGCTGGCTGGAACCGGTGGCGCCTGATGAGTGCTGCATCCGGAGGGATGCAAGAAGAGGCGTATCGACTCCCGGACGAATCTTTGATGGGGAACCGGATGGAGAGTCACCAGCCGATCCGAAACCTCCCAATTTTGGTGCGTCCGTCTGAAACCTCTTACGCTGGCTGGGTGGCTCGTTTCTCGATCCGAGAACGGAAACCGGAGGTCGGAAGAGAGTGGCGGGTAGATGGGGGTGGTGGGTTAGTGCAATAGCGACCGATGTGGTGGCGGCAGCAGCTTGTAGAGGCGCTTGGATCAGGGGAGCCCAGATGACGGGAGTAGGGGACGGAGGAGCAGGCGGTGATGGACTCTGCATCAGATTGGCGCAGAAAGCCATGTCCCGATCGTGCTGCACGATCTGCTGGATGATCTCACTTTCCTGGTAGTTCAAAACCCCTGAATTCAAATCATGCTGGACCTTGTGCTGGAGAATAGAGTTCTTCTTCCCTAAGAGATGAAAGACAAAAAAAATCTGATTTTTAGTCAGCAGAAAACATTTCTGTTATAAATTTAAGAAACAACACTAAGAAAAAGTACTGTGACATGATAGCATGGTAATACCATGGTTTTGTTGTAATTCTATATTCTGTTCTATAATTCTATGGTATATGAATATGAATATCGTTCATTACCATGGTATATATCAAAGTACTGCGGTATTACCATTGTTTAGACATGATGGCATGGTAATACCATGGTTTGCTGTTTATTATTCTGTGGTATATGAATATGGTAATCATTAGGTACCATGGTATATATTAAAGTACCATGGTATTACCATGGTTTGGACATGATAGCATGGTAATACCATGGTTTTGCTCTAACACTATATTATGTTCTATAATTCTATGGTATATGAATATGGTAATCATTTAGTACCATGGTATTACCCTGTTTTTTTGTACATTATAGCATGGTAATACCGTGGTTTTGTTGTAATTCTATATTATGTTCTATAATTCTATGGTATGTGAATATGGTAATCGTTCAGTACCATGGTACAGTACATATCAAAGTACCATGATATTACCATGTTTTAGACATGATAGCATGCTAATACCATTGCTTTGTTGTAACTATATTCTGTTCTATAATTCTATGGTATATGAATATGATAATCAGTTCAGTACCATGGGATATATCAAAGTATCATAGTGTCCCAACTTTGTTCCAGAATTTCTCATAACAATAGATCGTTAAAAGTAGATGACATATTGATGAGATGAGATATATATATATATAATTTTTTTAAAATTAAAATTTAGAACGAATTTTTAAATGAAAATGTCTTAATTTTAATTAAGAGTACTATAAATAACTATATTATTATATTTATTTATATTTACAATATATTAAGAGCAAAATATACAGTATAATTCATCTTAATTATTATTATTCAGATTTATAGGTTTTATCTAACACTTCAGGTATGCTATATATATATATGTGACCCTGCCTGTGAAAACCCAGCTAAAGTCATTTTTTGTGATTTACTGTTTATTCCGGCTTGCTGGCTGGAACCGGTGGCGCCTGATGAGTGCTGCATCCGGAGGGATGCAAGAAGAGGCGTATCGACTCCCTTTGATGGGTTTGATGGGGAACCGGATGGAGAGTCACCAGCCGATCCGAAACCTCCCAATTTTGGTGCGAACCTCTTACACCTCTTACGCTGGCTGGGTGGCTCGTTTCTCGATCCGAGAACGGAAACCGGAGGTCGGAAGAGAGTGGCGGGTAGATGGGGGTGGTGGGTTAGTGCAATAGCGACCGATGTGGTGGCGGCAGCAGCTTGTAGAGGCGCTTGGATCAGGGGAGCCCAGATGACGGGAGTAGGGGACGGAGGAGCAGGCGGCGATGGACTCTGCATCAGATTGGCGCAGAGAGCCATGTCCCGATCGTGCTGCACGATCTGCTGGATGATCTCACTTTCCTGGTAGTTCAAAACCCCTGAATTCAAATCATGCTGGACCTTGTGCTGGAGAATAGAGTTCTTCTTCCCTAAGAGATGAAAGACAAAAAAAATCTGATTTATAGTCAGCAGAAAACATTTCTGTTATAAATTTAAGAAACAACACTAAGAAAAAGTACTGTGACATGATAGCATGGTAATACCATGGTTTTGTTGTAATTCTATATTCTGTTCTATAATTCTATGGTATATGAATGTGAATATCGTTCATTACCATGGTATATATCAAAGTACTGCGGTATTACCATTGTTTAGACATGATGGCATGGTAATACCATGGTTTGCTGTTTATTATTCTGTGGTATATGAATATGGTAATCATTAGGTACCATGGTATATATTAAAGTACCATGGTATTACCATGGTTTGGACATGATAGCATGGTAATACCATGGTTTTGCTCTAACACTATATTATGTTCTATAATTCTATGGTATATGAATATGGTAATCATTTAGTACCATGGTATTACCCTGTTTTTTTGTACATTATAGCATGGTAATACCGTGGTTTTGTTGTAATTCTATATTATGTTCTATAATTCTATGGTATGTGAATATGGTAATCGTTCAGTACCATGGTACAGTACATATCAAAGTACCATGATATTACCATGTTTTAGACATGATAGCATGCTAATACCATTGCTTTGTTGTAACTATATTCTGTTCTATAATTCTATGGTATATGAATATGATAATCAGTTCAGTACCATGGGATATATCAAAGTATCATAGTGTCCCAACTTTGTTCCAGAATTTCTCATAACAATAGATCGTTAAAAGTAGATGACATATTGATGAGATGAGATATATATATATATAATTTTTTTAAAATTAAAATTTAGAACGAATTTTTAAATGAAAATGTCTTAATTTTAATTAAGAGTACTATAAATAACTATATTATTATATTTATTTATATTTACAATATATTAAGAGCAAAATATACAGTATAATTCATCTTAATTATTATTATTCAGATTTATAGGTTTTATCTAACACTTCAGGTATGCTATATATATATATGTGACCCTGCCTGTGAAAACCCAGCTAAAGTCTTTTTTTTTGTGATTTACTGTTTTCTACATAAACTCATCCTTCATAAAGATGTAGAACATTCTGTGAAAATATAACCTTTATTACAACAATATAATATTAAATTATACAAATCTTTTTCTAATCCTATGTGAACAAGCACAACAGCATACGTCGTTACTATTAATAAAATAACTATATAATAAATATATATATTAATAAATATATATATATACCACATAAACTTTCATTTAAAATTGTAGTTTGTTATATAAATATATAAAATAACAGTCACCATTTAATGACTATTATTGTTATTATTATTTTTTATAAAGAGTTGGAATGTGTGCACCATGATAAAAAAACTTCTCATGGTGTGTGTGTGTGTGTGTGTGTGTGAAGTGTGCATCAATTTCAGTATCTCCTCTCACATCAGTAGGAGATCGATGAGAGTAATGTGCTCCATCTTGTCCGAAGAAAAAATCCCTCACACACTCACACACAAAGTACAAGTACAGGTACTAAACACACACCTGGAACACTAAAACGGGCTTGTACAACACACACAGACTCACAAAAGTTACATTAATCAGCTTGTGAGCGGAGGGAGACGCGGGGAGCAGACGATGTGGGGGGGAGAGATGCTAAAAATCCTCCATGCTAATCTGTTTAGAAGCTCTCTGCATGAATGCAGCAGATAACACACACCACAATGACAGAAAGATAAAGCAATATGGAGGGGAAGAGTGAGATAAACAAATAAGTGAGAGAATGACAGCCTTTGCGAGATTAGAGAGGCGGGAAAGGAGAGAGTGGGCCGCTCTGTGCCTCTGAGGTCAATATGCTTTCAAACAATAAAGACTCAACAGTTCTCTGGCTCTCATCAATATTTGTGTGTGAGTTTGTGTCTGTGATGGTTTCAAAGACACCTACCGGTGGGGAAAAGAGACCTCAGTGAATTAATACCATGCTCACAAGACAATGCCGCAGGATGCTTCATTGTTTACAGTGATGAAGTAATTTTCTCTCAGTGTGTTTTCGCTTTGAATAAGAAAGTTTGTGGCATTGTTTTTTCCTTCACATATCTGGGGATAGTTCTGAAAAATTACAATTCTGTCATAATTTACTTACCCTCTTGTTGTTTCAAACCTGCGTCGTCATATCTTGAGCATTGTTATGTTAGTTTTAATTTGATAATATTACAGTTTTTATTAATATTTAGAATTTTTAGATTTTTTATATATATTTTCAGTTTAATTATTATTATTTATTTATTTTTTGGTAAATTTGTTACATGCTTTTGTCATTTTTCATTTCATTCATTCATTTTTCAGTTTTAGTAATCTTCTTAAACTTATTTTATTTATTTGTGACCCTGCCTGTGAAAACACAGCTAAAGTCTTTTTTTTGTGATTTACAGTTTTTTGCATAAAATCATCCTTCATAAAGATGTAGAACATTCTGTGAAAATATAACCTTTATATCTTTAATATTGAGTAAGGCCATGTCAAAGATTGAAATCATAGTGAAATTAATGGTTGAAATCAAACTTTGATGCTTGTTATCTCATAATTAGATTTTGAGACTTTAGCCTGGATTTCACAGACAGGGTCACATATATGGTCTACATATAAGCTTTATGAATGTCAGTACTAAGTCATTTGTTAGTATTTTAGCTGCATTGCACTCTTCCTTCAAACAGATCATGGCTTTTTTAATAATACCCACCAAAAATGGTATTATTCACCCTCAGGCCATGCCTTGAATATTAAATATCAAACGCAGCACTCTGTTCGATCTGTCTACTGTTTCATCAGCGCTTTGATTCATCTCACACTCCACACCGCCCCTGTTAAACAGGTCTGCTGTGTCCAGGAGCCTGGGCTGACCGTCCTCACTGCTGAGCCCCAGATAAGAAAGAGTACAAAAACAGAGTGCAGACACGACCTCTACCTTACGCAGGACTGATATAAACAAGAGACCAAGAGCCTGGATGAGCAGAGGGCACTTTGCTATGTTTGGTAATGTCAGGCTATCACTTACTACTGTAATCACACTGGGCCGGTGCGGAGCCGAGCACGACACAAGAGACTTTTGATCTTCAGGCAAATAAAAAAAAATAAGTTCCTTTACAGAGTGCACTTGATGTAATTCACTCTCCAGCTGTGCTAAACCTAATTTCTGAACTTTTCTGAATTGAGTGAATTTCACAAAAATATATCTAGGTCCTAAAGGGGGATATATATGGTAGCCTAGCACTTTAGTTTAGGGACCAATTCTCACTATTAACTAGTTGCGTATTAGCATGCATATTACTAGTACATTGGCTGTTTATTAGTATTTATAAAGCACAAATAAATGGCTTATTCTGCATGATCATATTTTAGATCCCTTAATCCTACTGCATACCTAAACTTAACAACTACCTTACTAACTATTAATAAGCAGCAAATTATTTAGGCTAATTAGGCTAACCGAGACTTGTCATTTGCACTTACATATTGTTGCTCTGAAATGCATATTTCATAACAATATTACATATTGTTAGTTTTGATTGCTTCTATTGTCCTCATTTGTAAGTCGCTTTGGATAAAAGCGTCTGCTAAATGACTAAATGTAAAAAAATTATTATATAACTAAAATAAATATTTTAAAATAAACCATTAAAAATTAAATAAATACAATTTATAATTTTTATAAAAAATATTTTTTTTAATAAAATTTTTTATAAAATATTTTTTATTATTATTTATAATTAAATAAACCATTTGCATATCATTGCTCTTTTGTTGATTTTGATTGCTTCCATTGT